TTTTAAAGTAGCTTTTTAAAAATAAAGGGCTTAGGGAAGGAAGAGCCAAGCCTCTCACCAGGCCCTCTACTGTCGGGCCCAATTCTAAGGCAAATCAGTGGTTTCTAAAGCTTGTTGATACCCTCGGAAGGTTCCCAGTGCACTCTGGGTTGGGGTTACTGCTTTGAGTACGGTTGACCTTTCCTCTCCTGTCACTGACCTGTGCTAGATCTGGACATTAGGGCACTGACCTATAAGCAAATAGCATTCTGGAAAAAGCCTGATTTCTGTTCAATGTTTTATTACGATGAAAACTGATCTTGGGAATGGCTGTACAACCCTGACTTTCCACAGTGGAGTCTCTGGCTTCTTCTGGCTTCTTCAAATTCACATCCACAGGTAAGTGACTGCATTTGCCAGTAGCATTTTAAGTCTCTGCTTTCCAAGTCTGCCCTTATCTTTTTTTTTTTTCTTTTTAAATCTCAGTTTATGGGAGTTTCAGATTTACCAAAAGTGCTGTCATATGCTAGGGCTATAGCCCGTGGGTAAGTGTGTGAAGATGTAGGGCTGTGTTCTTGGGATAATCAACGAGGGAAGCCTGGTGGCTGTCTTAAAGCAGTGCTATTTGTATATCAGTTGTCTTGAAAATGTGTGTGTGTTAAAAATAGGTGAACAGATAGAAAAAAAAAAAGATCACCCAAAGTAAAAATGCCAGAGTGATGCTTTTTAAGCTTGGCATTATAAAAACATGACCCTGTTTGAACTAATAATCATAAAAATCTCAAGGCTTATCCGAGACTTTAAAAGATCAGTTATTCTCTTCTTGCCTAAAACCTTTCATAAACTCCCATTGTTGGTGGGATAAAGCCCCAAGACCCCGGTGTTAAAGAACCAAGGAACAGTAGCTCCAGAGGTAGCTCGCACCCCCCCCACCCGTTGTTAAACAGTAGCTCCAGAGGTAGCTCGCACCCCGCCCCAGACCCGTTGTTATTCTTCAGTCCTTGCTCCTGTTCTGTCTTTGGGTTCTAGGCCTTCCATATACTCTTTCCTTCCTTTCTTTCATCCTCCGTCTACTTTGAGTTTCTCTCCAGGGCAAATTCATGGTGAATGTGTTCATTCCAGAGATTCCCAAGCTGGTGCTCATACATCGTCTTCATCTATGGTCATCATAGCTGCGATTTTTCCGGGAGTCTATCACCCATCTTTTGTTCACTCCAGAAGCTCCATCAGGGTGAAGCTAATTAGAAGGTTGATGCTCTAGGCAATAGTTTAGTTTAAAAAAAATCACATTTTTGAGAATTTTCTCACTCTTCTGAACTGACTTCGTGGTTCTGGAGTGGGAGGATTTTCTGTAAATAGCCAGGAAGTAAATATAGAGAAGGACTTTCAGTTTATGTCGGAGATACTCAGTGATGTGACCAAAGACAATAAAAAAGGGTGGATGTGGTAACTATATTCCAATAAAGCCATGCTTCAGAGAGAGAGAGAGAGAGAGAGAGAGAGAGAGAGAGAGAGAGGGAGAGAGAGAGAGAGAGAGAACACGACCAGGCAGTCATTTGGTTGCCCTTATTGCAATAAGAATATAAGATTCTTTACTCTGAAACCAGTTTCTGAGCATCTGTTTCTCCTTCCTTCCTTCTTTTCTTTAAAAGATCAGTTAATGTTCCTTCCTTCTTTCCTTCCCTCCCTCTTTCCCTTCCTCCCTCCCTCTCTCCTTCTCTCCTTTCTTCCCTTCTTTAACACCAAGAGTCAGTTGTTAGTGTGGACCAGGCCCTTTGAGAAGATCAACCCTTCCATCAGCTGCTTTAATCTGGATTCCACCAAGCTGCGGTGCATCTTGGCCACCATGAGGCAACACAATAAAAACAGTGGTCATTGACATTTTGTGTTCCCAGGATCTTCACCCTGGCCCCACATGGCTCCGAGGACCCTGTGTCTGTCTCCTCTATCTGGAGTGTCTGCCAGGCCAGTGTCTCCCAGGCAACCATGCAGTTTCTGGTCTCTGCCCTTCTACTCAGCAGTGGTCTTCTACAGGTTGCTGTCCACGCTCTAAGATATGATCAGGGGACTGACCTTGAGTGTTTGTTTCTGAGTTGATAAGATTCCATCTTTTATCAGCAGAAGTTGAACAGAAAGTTACACAGTAGACAGGTTAAATATCACATGTCCTTGAACAAAGAAGGACAGTGGGATGTGGTCAGTCAAGTCTCCTCAAGGGGTTCCTACCTAGGTAGCCGCGTCAGCCAACCACTGCATAGAAATATTAATTTCTGCCTTAAACTGTTAGATTCTCTGATGTTTCCGAAAACTGATTTTTTTTGAAAGGCCTTGAAAATTTTCAATCTTTTCCTGAAAGATTTGGAGGAGATAAAATAATTCAATATCTTAAAATTCAAATAAAAAACAAATAGCGCAAAATCTTGTTTTCAGCTCTGAATTATCTTATGCTTGCCAAAAAATTATCATTGCAAATTGTTAAGCAATTCTTATTATAACTTTTAGCAATGGATAGTGTGGTTTAGGTGCTAATTAAGCATTATAAGGTATTAACTGAGAAAGTGGATTCGGTGGCATTGTGACTGCTTCTGTTGGTAAGGGAAAAACAAAACAAAAAACAAAATAAACTTCCAAAGGAGGAGGCCCATCCTCAAGATCCTGCCAAACAAGTCTGCAAACTGGATTTCTGTATTGCTAGGGTTTCAGTCTAGGAGAGACATCCTCCAGGACCGCTGCAAGCCTTTCCTGAGATCTTTCCTAAATCAGCCAATGGATGAAAACATGCTATTGTAATAGATGGGTTGCATTCTGCATTGTAAAGGTTTGAGACAATCCATTCTACCCTGTAACGGCCTGAGACAATCCATTCTACATTTTAACGGTATGAGACAATCCATTCTGTGGAAGGATCACAAACAACACCTTCATTCAAGTCTTCCTAATTTTCTGGGCACTTTCCCCACACTTAGTGTTAAAAAAAACTTCAGTGTCATTGTGACCTGGATGAAGCCAGGTCAGTGGGTTGACTGCAAAGGATCCTGGAAAGCAGAGTTAGGGAAGGAGCGAGAGGATTAGGTGTAGAAGCATAAAGGGCAAAAGGAACTTGCGTTCTCTTTCTTTGTGGGTTTCAACAGGATCAGCTCATGGAGCTGAAAATGGATTAGTCAGGCCTCAGAGATATGTTAAAAACCATGACTGGCTTGGTGGTGCTTACTTATAATCAGAGAGGCAAGTTAAAGACCAACCTCGGTGTACATAGTGAGTTCCTGGCCAGAGAGCTATGTAGTAAGATTTTGGGTCAACTCCCATTGTGCCCTCAGTCCAAAAACACCAGGCAGCAGCAAAAACAACAGGATCTGTGAAAATCCAGAATCTGAGGGAAGGCCCTGTACTTTGGCCTCTTATTTCTGCTGAACAGCAGCGGTAGAAACTTCTCAAATGTAAGTAAGTTAGGAAAAAGAATTGGTGATTGAATAAAGAAGAACAGGTCTTGTTGGGATCCAGGGACCTCACTATTGTTACTGTGATGCTTCAGGGAAAAGGGGAATCTTTGCCTTTGGTGTCTACTGTGACCCCCCCCCCCCCAGGCTCCAGTGGATAGTTCCAGTACAGGGGTCACATGAGTGGCTCTGGCTGAACTAAATAGGTCACACAGTGCAACACAGAACTATAAATCTGGAAAAGGGAAAGTAGAGGTTAATAAGAATGGGAAGGGAATAAGAGAGGGGACAGAGAGAGAGACAGAGACAGAGATAGATAGATAGATAGATAGATAGATAGATAGATAATAGATAGATAGATAGATGATAGATAGATAGATGATAGATAGATGATAGATAGATAGATAGATAGGAAGGATAAGGACTTATTATTTATCTCTCCAAACCATACTTTTCCTGTATTCTCCTTGTCATTTAGTCTGAATTACAAAAGTTCAGTACACCGTGGACTCATTTCTAGTTATTTTGTATTTTCTTAAGCTTTGGGTTCCTAAGACATGCTGTAGTAAACACGCGAATACATGTCTCAGCTTGGATCTCATATAATGTGAGTTTGAATCTAGGCTCCACCAGTTACTAACCAGTTACTAATGTGCTTGTGGGCCAGTGTCTGGAAAAAGTGGAAAGAGCAAGTTGCCATCTCAGGAGACAAGGATTTAATGATTAGTTTTTTTGTTTGTTTTTACTCTGCGTATGCCCGTGTGTGTGTGTGTGTGTGTGTGTGTGTGTGTGTGTGTGTGTCACAGGACAATATGTGGGATTCATTCTACCATCCTACGATTTGGGCATTTAGGTTCTGGGAATCAAACTAGGGCAGGCAGGTTTGGTGACAAGCACTGTTAGCTGCTGAGCCATTTCACCAGCCCCTACTGAATGATTTAAAGTCAAGACATATACAAAGAACATTTCTGGCATATTCTAAATGCCATTTCAGTTTTAATTGGTTTTTAAAACAATTATCAGTGAAAATAATAAACTAGGGTCTTCTACAACCTATCGTTAATACATTTAGTCTTGTTTGTATTTCCGGTTTGCTCTCCAAAAGTTATTTGATCATCCTATGTTTTTACTACCTGGACCAAAGAGCACTCTCCCTCTGTCCTCATAGCACTTCGCACTATTGGGGTTTAGCCCATGCCTGTATTTTGTCCAATGGCTTTAGTACCTATTCCTAACCGTGACCCATTTCTTTGCTACTCTTGCAAAACTTTATTTTTTTTTCCAATCTTATAGGTCTTCTAAAACCAGGAATGGATATTAATGATAACAAATATTTTTTGAGTCTATTAAAATGATCATTTGTCTTATTAACTAACCATTCTATGCTCTAAATCAACCCCATTTCATTGTATTTTGTAAGCTACTGAATAACATATAGAATATCATGCTTAACTTTTGAAAGTCAATTTTCTGGTAAGTCTGTTTTTTCTCTTATAGCATTTTCTATCCGATGTAGGATTAAAGATGCCTTAGGAAATGAGTTGAGTGTCTGTCCTACTTGACTAGTTAACAAAGCGATCGATAGTGTTCCCTTCCACAGCACCTGTACTAAAGTGGGAACTGTACAGAGATGTTAGAATGGCCCTGAGCAAGAATGACATGCAAATTTGGGAAGTATTCCATATTTTTGATGACTTTGTTCTTTGCTTCTTGTATTTTTGTTTCATATAATGCACAAGTTAACTAAGACAGAAAGGTTCTTCCAAAAACCTATAAATTAAAATCTAATTTATGTGCAATATTAGAATCACTCAGTCTTTGAAGTTTTATGAAACTTGTCTATGTCATTAATCTAAACCTAACTTTTAGGAGGGGTTGGGGATTTTTGAATATTGAATAAATGTCCTTAATAATTATTAGTTTTTACATTTTAGAATTTTCTTCTAAGCAAAATGTGATAATTCATACCTTCTCTAGAAAATCAGTCTTATCCTGGTTTTCAAGTTTATTACTTTATTACATAAAGTTTCTCAAAGTATTTGATTACGATTTTAACTTTTTCTGCCTAATCTCCTGCCTATTTGTTTTCTGTTGTTTATTTGTGACTTATATATGTCTTCCTGGTATGTTTTGTTGAGTTCTGTCTGGTTTTTGGCAATCTGAAGAGAACAGCTTTTAAATTGTTCTGGCCTCTCTAGTTTTTACTCTTTTTTTAAAAAAGTAAGTCTTATTAATTTTGAAATCCCCCTTTATCCCTTTGTTAGGCTGGGACTTGAACCCAGGGCCTCTAGCATTAGGCATGTGTCCCGCCACAGGCTGTCTTCCCCAGGCCCTTAGTCTTGTTTTCGAAAGGTTCTTAAGGAGAATGGCATTCATTCATTAGTCTTTTAATGAATTAAGTGCATTTGTGTTTACAACCAAATCTTTGAGTGTCCTTTTAGCGGGATCCATGGCTTTTCTGTCTGTATCATCAGGTTCCAAATATTTCCTAATTTTCATTGTGAGTTCATCCTTAGCATACATACATTCTAAAGTCATAACACACAATTTTACTGAATACAAATGTGTATAGATCAACAGCGTTTAATCTTTTATTTTTTACTCAGTTACACTGATATCAGAATGTATGCTAAAAGTTATATATAGAAATGTTTATTACCGGGGGAGGGAAGACTATGATCAAAATATATTTTGAATAAAATGTAAAATATAGCTATATAGGGAAATTTTGTTTTTTATTAGTAGTCAAATTAATTTTTTATTTGCCTTTTTAATTATTTGATAATCCCCTACACATATATAATAAATTTCAGTCAACTTTCATCCTACCTGTTTCCCTCTCTTGCTGGGCTGTGTCATGCCTGGAAGACACCTTTTTGGCCGCACATTCCCCATCCTTTGGTTCTTACGTTCTTTCTGCTCCTTCTTCCATGATGTTCCTTGAGCCTTGGAGGGGATGATAGAGCTTTCCCATTTAGTGCTAAACACCCCACCATCCAAACATTCTTAGACCTTTGGCCAGTTACGGGCTTCTGTGTTAACCACTGTCTAGAAGCTTCTCTGATTAAGGCTGGGCATTGCCCTTATCTGTGGGTATAAACTTGAAGTATTTAGAAGACAGGTTGACAACATAACAATTTAGCAAAATAATAATAATAGTTCTCCACGACCTCTCCAGCCATGGGCTCTTGAGTAGGAAGCACAAACTCTCTCCTCTGAAGGGGACTTTCAGTTCAACCAGAGAGACACTGGCTGTCCCCACAACAGTCATGCCGGTGTCCCACTAAACCACACATTGTGTCTAGTGTGACAGATTATTAACTTGACAAGATACAGATTCCTTCTGTGAGGAAGGAATCATCTAGATTCAATATCCTCTGTCTCTGCCTGTGAAAGATTTTTTTTTTTGACTAGGTTAGTTAAAATGGGAAAACCCATACTAAATGTGGGTGGCGCGGTTTCATGGCCCTGGCTGCGGCCCAGCCCTCAGACACCAACATGGTCACATGTTGCAGCCTAGATCCTGAGCCTCCATGTGGCTCCTGGGGGCACCATGGGCCACCAGACATCAACACAGACCCCAGCTGTGGTAGGACCATGGACCCAGACATGGTCTTCGGCAACAGCCTGGACCCGGATATCACCATGGCCCCAGGTGGCTGTACATGCCACTCAGATCCTCTCTGCCCCCTCAGTAACGTGGCCCTCGGTTGTCAACCTGGCTCCAGGTAGTAGCCAGACCACAGGCCTCCTCAGGGCCCTCAGTGGCCCCTCAGTGGCAGCAGAAGCCACAGGCATCATCTCATTTGCTCTCAGTGCTCCAGGGCCTCGGACCAAGACTGGCCCTTGGTAGAAGCCCAGGTCTGGAAATAGCCCTGGATTCAGGTGGTTCACATTAGCCTATTCCTCACCACCCTTTTCTCCTCAGATCTGGCTCTTTCCCCAGCCCATGAACCTCTCCACCTCTTTATCGCTTCCACCTCCCTCCCCACCCTCTATCTGCTTACCACAATAGTGTCTGACAGTCTGGTGCCATGGGTGCCGGGCGGTACTTGTTTGAGACCTGCTCAGGCCAGCTTCAGGACATGACGCGGTGCTGTTGCTCTTGCTCCGTTGCATCCTGGGATTAGAGTTACCAGATGACGGCTCCTGTCCTCCACCCCCCATCTAACCCCCTGCCAGCCACATGGTATGGCACGGAACTGTGTTGGGCCAGGGCTAGAGACCCTGAGCTGAATTTAATAACGTTTTTAAAACAGCAGAAATAGAGAATTAGCTGAACACATTCACTCATTGAACATCTTACACAGTTTTACTTTTTGTCTTTTTGAAATATAACAGGTTAAACTCCATACCATAACTTGACAGACTGTACCAAGATATTTTGTTAGTTCTTATATTCACACCTGATTCTTTTTCATGGTACTTTCTGGAAACTCTTTTTTGATAAGGTACATCCTGTAATAGGTGCTTGGGTTTGTGAATGGAAACTTTCTTGGGGTTCAAAGCCAGGATACAGACAAAATGGTTTTTTGTTTGTTTGTTGTCCAAGATAAATCGTTAGGTTAAAAGTTATTTTTCCTTGCACTTTGAAGATGTTTTCCAATATTGGTTATTGATAAGAAAGCAAAGAGAGCTGTGACCAACACGGCTCTGGTTGGACTCACCATCCCTTGGGGCTCTACTTACAAAAGACCACTGACACGACTTGAAAGAACTTGGGTGTCATTGTACCAGCTACACTTAAGAATGTCACCGGTTAGGCCAGCCTGGTCTACAGAGCTAGTTCCAGGACAGGCTCCAAAGCCACAGAGAAACCCTGTCTCGAAAAACCAAAAAAAAAAAAAAAAAAAAAAAAAAAAAAAAAAAGAATGTCACCGGTTGTTTTACTTAGTGCTTTGATGAGATTCTGTTAAAAATAAAGCACAGATAAACAGAAAGAACAAATAAACTTAATAAACAATCATCTATCCACCAACTAAAGAAAACCTTTTTCCTTTCTTTCTTTCCTTTCTCTCTCTCTTTCTTTCTCTCTTTCTCTTGCTTGCTTTCTTGCTTTCTAGCTTTATCAGATAGTCTTTTATTGAAATATTTTCTTTCATGGATTTTTAACAAGCTGAGCATTCCACTGCATCAATGCTGATGTCATGTATGATGTCATGAGGGTCCAGGATCACCTTAATATTTCCAGAAAGTTCTCTGGCTAGAGACAAGTGCTGCATCTGCTGGGCAATGTTGACAGTCTCATCAAAACTGGTATTTCCACCGTATTTCATCTTCATCTGTTTCTGTCTCTTGGTGGCTCCTTGAGGTCCCTGATGACCAGGCAGAGGGCACCACCTCATCTGGGCCTGTCTTGTCTGGATGGTCAGCTTTGCTGTAATCCTCAGACCTTTCCAGTTACTGGGGCTTTGGCAATGTCATCACCAACTTTTTTTGGAGATAGACTCAGGCAACTGATCTTTGGGGCCAAGACAGATGTGGTTGCCCACCTCACCTCTGGCAAACCTCAAGTCCACAACTTTGATTTCCTGGGGTTTGAACTTGGGAGGCATGGTGGAGGCGGCTGGTGATGGATGCACCTGGATTCGGGCTGACTGAAGAAAGTTGTATGATAGCCTCCATCTGAGCCAAAAGGCGAAACGCAAGAAAACCATTTTCAGTTGGGCTAACTTTTTGAAAAGCTGGCAAAGGTCATTTGAGGAACAATGAAATCATGACTTTAATCCAGCTTTTAGTTCATCTTTCTTAATATTTAGTCTATTTCACTGAGATGTTATTGGATGAAAAGATCTGTTTTTGTTTCGGATTGTCTACAGAAGCTTGCTGATTTGACTACTTTCGTCAAAGAGAAAATAGACAGTAATTACAGCAATTGTTTTATTTTACAGGGCTGTTGAGTGCAGACTGCAAACACCATGTCTGACTCGGTAATTCTTCGCAGTGTGAAGAAATTTGGAGAGGAGAATCATGCTTTTGAATCAGATGGATCGAGTAAGTGGCCTTTGAATTTGCTTGAGTCTTAGGCAAAGAAAAATAAAGACAAAGGTGAGGGTAACCCATCGAGGTTTTAAGACGCAGAGAAAAGTCAGCTATGACATGTGGAGCTATTGCTGGGCATGGGCCTGACATAGAGCATCCAGAATCCATGTCATAGCACATCTGGAAGCTCCGTGTTGGTATGCACAGCCTGGGACCCAGGGGCAGCATCTCCCATGAGAACTCCTTCCTAGGTAGAGCAGGGTTGTTCAGCACTGGCCATCGTGATAACTTTATCCCGGTATCATTACTGATCACCGTGGCAACAGTAAGTGTTAAGGGCTTCTGCTCCTGGCAGGAATGAGACTGTGTGGGAGGTGCCCTGCAGCATTAGTCCCTGGCATGTTGTGAGCACCGCCTCTAAGCTGTCATTTGTTGATTAAGTCATATGCTTCTGTATTTTCCAGAGAAATCAAGGCTTTGCTAGCTTCTTAAAAGTTGGTAAAAATCACAAGAGTTATGACTCACGGAATCATGATTCTAGTCCAGTTTTCCGATTCTCAAGGCCTACGTCTACACTGTAATGTGTCTTACTGCAATTGTGTTAGACATGCCAGTGGAACCCATAAATGACGGCCATGATAACAAACACCCCTTAGGGCTCTTTTCTCGCCCCTGTAGACCCAGTTCCATTTCCTACCGGCATTTGT